TAAAGGATTCATTTCGACATCCCAACCACCTGAAGAAGGCCGGAACGTACAACAGCCGAAACGTTGTAATAAATATGGCGACAAAGATGAGGACAATAGTCCGTATAATGTAAATAGTGTACAAGACAAGCTTGCTAATGTTACAAGATGAGATCTTGCCCTGCTTCGATAAACGGAAGTTACCATCACGAGTCCCCGACTCGAAATGAAAACTGCACGTCTACGCATAGGCTCGACGCAGATACTTCCGTTTGGGATAAACTGGAAAAAAAATTAAAAGAATTAAGTCAACCAATCGGACCGTCTCCCGCGTATTCAAAAAATTGCCATTTGGAGCCGATAGGCGTGTATAAGTTCAACACGATAAAGTCAAAAGAGTCCCATTCAACGGCGGAGGAGAAGGGTCACGTCGCTCGCTCTTGACACACTGGCCCGGAGACGAAACGAAGCATGTGACCGCTGCTGCTAATGAACTCTCGCCCGACGCTTTGTCAAAGGGTACCTTTTCCCTTCCATAAGTCAAATTAACTCCACGAACTTTACTTGCCACTACCATAGACACTCAACTTCTTAAATACGAACCTTTTACTTGTTCTTATTTTCCTCACAAAAAAGACTATAAAATATATCTACAGTCTTTCTTGTTCTTTCGATTCTGAATTTCATTGTTTGCAACCAAACGCAGTATTTCGCCCACATTGTTTTCGCATCGCCCACGTAACTAAATACGGAATATAACACTAACCATTACACCACGTCGAGGTGCCTAATTTATTGATTAATGTTATGCGAAAATTAAATTGTAATCGCTATGCACTATAGTATATGAATTTTAGCGAGAATCGGTCAAGGCTAGGAATGCGAGTGTAGGGTGACGATTAATGTACATGGCAGTTGTCGAAAAGAGTTGTGCCCGAAGGAGGAATCTAATCCCATTCGGTTGATATTTCTGTCTGAATTACTGGGCGGGGGAGTTATCATTATTTATTCTATTTCTATTAAGACTTTCAAGTGTATATCGATCTGGGTAAGCTACAGGTAATTCTGAAATGAACCCTTTATTTAATCTATGGGAGTAAATTGAGCAGTGGCATGAGAACAGTTTACCCCCGTGGACAGGGCCATTGTGTACTATCCTGGGAACCAGTCCTCGACCTTTCAAATCTGATTGAGGACCCCAGGAAATGCTTTGTGACCCTCGCTATCTTATCAACATTTGCTTTTTTCTACCTAAGTTTTATACATTAGAAATTAAACTAAGCACAACTATTAAAGGATGAAAAATTATGACAACATCTTGTTTTTTTTGTCCAAATCCATGAATTTGTTTTGCTTATGCTAAGTCTAGAAAATTATACAAAATTCACTATTTTTTACCCATAATGTTAAATGTTTTCAAATTATTGAATTTTTTAACAAGAAAATCTCGTTAAAAATTGCTGCAAAACATTGTTGATTTATTTAAGATGGAATGATCTATTATGATATGTCTTTAATTTGTATTTAGATACATTGTATTTATTTTCAATTTTTCTAGTTGAATTGTTCATCTATATTGCATGTGATCCATTATTGTGCATAATTAGGTTAGAATAAAATTTGCATTTTATATGAAGACTACCTTCTGAAAAATGAGTACAATATGAGGCCACGTATCAAAAATTTGGGGGTTGTGCATATCATAGATTCAGTGGGGCATTGTCCGTTGGTGTAATAAAGTATTCAGTTCAGAATTCTCTGTAGCTTACCCAGATTGATATACACCTGATGAAGGCTGGAGAGCAGAACGACCAAAACGTTGTGATAGCAACAACAAAGATGAAGACAATAATATGACTATAAGTACGAGTAGTGTAAAGAATGGAGGACTTATGTTTTGAACGGGAAAAATCAGAAATAAGTTGGCTGGTCCCTAGATGGCGAACTTCTGTTTACATCAAATTCCCGAAGGCCGATCTTCAGAAATGACTTAAGAATACAATAAGAATTCAAACGAAATGTCATTTTCATGTACATCAACGCAGCAGCTCACGTTTCTAGTGCAACAAAAAAAGTCAAGTATCATACGTGATTCGCGCTTGGGCGATCATGTCTCTTTTGATTTATGACTAAATAGGTAACAGTCCTCCTATATGGCAGGGAATGCAGGAAAATCTCCACACAGATGAAAACGAGACTTGAAGCAAGATATATATTTGGTTCTACAGAAGTATGCTGAGAATACAATGGACCCAATTTGTGAACAACGACAAGGTTTTAGAGAAAATGGAAACAAAAAGGACACCTCTACTTAACATCGGGGAGAGACAGTTGAAATTTCTAGGGTACATAATGAGAAAATATTTTTGAAAATGTTATTCTCACAGGACAGATTGAAGGCGGGGGGGGGCAGAGGAAAACAGCGTATAAACTACCCAGCAAGTTTGAGTAAATGGATGGTGGAACAAGGGTTAGGAGATATAACAAAAAGGCAAAATTTATTAAGAGCTACAACGGAAAGGAAATTGTGGAGAGCCGTGATTGCCAACGTCCTAAAGAGAAACGGTACATAGAAGAAGAAGAAGAAGATGGCAGCTGTTTCTTTTAGACTGATTGCCAACAAAGCCTATAGGGTTTTGTCGTTTTATCCACCCCGTATCTGGGTGAAGAAGAAATGGACTCATACCTTTTCCAAGGGTATTTGCATTTAAGTGAATGTAACGAAACCGAGTGAAATTCGAACACGTCTCTCCAATTTCTCATTCCGTTATCCATTACATCACACCGCATATCCTAATGAATAAAGAATGTCTAAATAAATTAGGGTGTGGCTGTTGCATTCAATAAATATAAACAGCACTGAGAACCTTTAGAACATTATCAAGAGGCGTCTTCATGAGGGCTACAAACAATTTGAATCCAAAAATGAACTTTGAAAGCATTATTAGACATTATCCATTTAGAAATTCTTAAATGAAGTTCTATTGACATTAGATAAGTGGATTAAAGGGTTGGTTCTTGAATTTGGTGGCAGTAATTGTGAGTTCAATTCCCGATCCGAAAACTGGTGGAAACTGGCAAATAATAACTGAGCAGTAATACAAATAAGAACTAGACGATATATCCTTAGACATGGGCAGTGGAACGAGGAATATAACCCCGTAGATTAAATAAACGGTTCATTTCGGAATTCCCTGTAAGTTACCCAGATCTTTATACACCTGATAAAGACCGCAGGTCACTACGGCCCAAATGCTATGGTAAGATGAGGACAATAGTCCGAATGTAAAGAGTGCAAATAAGAAACTGTTAGCCGAGAACTTACAATTCCATTTAGCAATTTTAAACTGTAAAACATTTCATTGTCTATCAAATTTTTCTTAAAAAACGGAATAGTAGCTTATTTTTTGATTTATAAAGTTTGATTCGAATACATGACTGACGAGGCAGATTTTTTTCCGCAGTAGGTTGCCATTTCTTCCTGCGATAGACTAGTTGCCATCCAAGACTATAGAACACGGTCTTTCCTGCTATTTTGGGGGCCGCGGGTGGGGAGAAGAAGAGGATTCATACCTTTTCCAAGGTTATTAGCACGTAAGTAAATGTAATGGATTCGACTGGAATTCGAAACCTTCTCCAAAACATCATGTATTCTTTTATGTTTGAACTTAATTTTCACCTGTTTTAAAATAAGAATAGTATAAGCCAAAAATAGTGCTTATTTATTTCCATATTCAATTTTCAAAGTAATACAAAATGCGCTATTTTTTTACTTAATGGGACATCGTTATGTGTTGAGAACACATGAGAAATTATGAAAATGAAGATAAAAGGATTATTTACAAATATAACAAACAAACTAGAAATTTATGAATGTTCTCTATTTTGCTGTTTCACCATATGTGTGATTTTCTCCACGTATCGATTCTTTTACTTATCTCAACCACGTTTTATCTCCATTTATTGTTTTGTCACTTCCACATTTTTGAAATTATTAACGGCAAGGTTGCTGTTATAGATATGTTGATGACACTGAACTGCTGGCAAACACAACGGGAAAACTACAAAAGAATCCTAGACTTGGTAGAAAAAACAAGAAAGGACCGACTATTAACTGTAAGAAAACAATGTATGTTCGTCAGCAAGAGCGACGAAATGGAGACATCAGAAACAAGTAGGTACAGAAATGTTACTATCTGATGAGCAGAAAATGTGACACCGAAATCCGAAAGCGCATTGGAATAGTGAAAGATGCCTTCCAGAAACTAAAATATTAAATGATTGGAAAAAGATGTTAGAAGCAAAGAAAAGAGTACTCAACTATCATGTCATATCTCTTCTCGATAGTGATAATATTTACGAAAAATAAATGAACACAATGTCATATAAAAGAGACACAAAATTTTAAAGACGAAACCAAGAAATTATTAAATTATTCAAAAAATGAAGACAATTCTCCCTTCTATGGATATAGGATGTTCTCAAGAAAGAGATTGAACAATGGTGGGGAAAGCAAACAGCCATGACGGATGCCAATTGTAGCCTTGAAATAGTCACCCACCTGGCTGTTGAGGAGAGCCGCAAAGCTGGAGGTCTTATACAGCATCTCAATGACTTGGGTAAGGCCCTCCTCTATGCCAAAATTCCTCAGGACCTGCCGTAGACTGTCATGCCACACTCTATCGAAAGCCTTCTTGAAATTTATAAAGTTATGAAACAGATGACTCTGATGTTGCAGATGTTTCTCCATCAGAATGCGAAAATTGAACATCTGCTCCATAGTGCTTCTGCCTGCCCTAAATTCATCTAGTTCTTCTGCTAGTTGTTCTTTAGCCTCTTTCTTAAGTCTGTTTAAAATGACTCATAGCATAATTCTACTGGTCTGGTTAATGAGGCCGATGGTCCTGTGATTCTGGCACTGGCGAAAGTTTCCTTTTTTGAGGACATGTGGATGATGAATGATTGAGTCGATTCTATTGTTGCAGCGGGCCGAGAAGTGTGAGTGCCAATCGACCGTACAACTAAAACAGGGGACACAAAGGTAGGGAAATGGCAATAGCAAAGAAGGATGACAAACGCAGATGGTCCGTTGTAGACGATGGAAATCGTGTCTTTATTAGCGAACGGTGGATGGTAAGAAGACAGAGGTCGTTTGTTCGGGAACGGTAACGGGCGCTGGACGTCAGTGGGCACTGGATTAGGTCGTCAGCGGGTGCTGGAATAGGTAGCGGGACGTCAGTAGAGCGCCGCAGGGGTGAGCTGGAGGCCGCTGGAAGCTGTTGGGGTGAGCTGGATGCTGCAGGAGTGCTGGAAGCTGCAGGAGTGAGCTGGATGCTGCAAGAGAGAGCTGGAAGCTGCAGGAGAGAGCTGGAAGCTGCAGGAGTGAGGTGGATGCTGCAGGAGAGAGCTGGAAGCTGCAGGAGTGAGCTGGCGTCTGCAGAGGGAAGGTGCTGAAGAGTGAAGTGAGTGGAGCCTCGAAGAGTGGTGATCGAATGGAAGTTAGCCCTGAAAAGGACTGTTTGAACAACTGCTGCTACTGCTGCTGGGTCCCGTCAGCTGCTGGGCTTGGTCGACTTGAATGGGCGCGTCAAAGTCGTGAATCAGGAAGGCTTCCTGCCCTGGAAAGGACTTGACTCCCACGAGGTCAAGATGTGCAAGGTCTTTTTCGTGGGATTACTTGACTCCCGAGGTCAAGACTGCACAAGGTCGGTCGAAAAACCCAAGCGTTTCAACATGGGTCACTGGTCAAAGATTGGTCATAACATATCAAGCTGGTCAAGGCTTAGTCAATGTTTTAGTCATAACATGTCCTTGGTCAAGTTCTGGTCTTGGCTTGTCTTAGCAGGTCCTGATATGGTCCAAACTAGACTTTGCCATGGTCGCAACCCAGCCCGAAGGCCGGGCTGCTCCCCGGGCCGGCGGTATTTACTTGACTCCCACGAGGTAAAGATGTGACACAAGGTCGTTTTTCGTGGGAAACCCGAGCGTTTCCGCATAGGGTCACTGGTCAAAGATTGGTCATAACATGTCCAAGCTGGTCAAGGCTTAGTCAATGTTTTAGTCATAACATGTCCAAGCTGGTCAAAGCTTAGTCAAGTCCTGGTCTTGGCTTGTCTTAGCAGGTCCTGATATGGTCCAAACTAGACTTTGCCATAGCCGAAGGTCAACCCGGGCCGGCGGGCTTGGCTGCTCCGAGGTCAAGATGTGGCGGTCGTTTTCGTGGGATTACCGGCTCCCACGCGGTAAAGATGTGACACAAGGTCGTTTTTCGTGGAAAAACCCAAGCGTTTCCGCATAGGGTCACTGGTCAAAGATTGGTCATAACATGTCCAAGCTGGTCAAGAGCTTAGTCAATGTTTTGGTCATAACATGCCCAAGCTGGTCAAGGCTTAGTCAAGTTCTGGTCCAAGTTGGTCTTGGCTTGTCTTAGCAGGTCCTGATATGGTCCAAACTAGACTTTGCCATGGGTCGCAACCCAGCCCGAAGGCCAGGCTGCTCCCCGGGCCGGCTAAAAACCGCTGCGAAGTCTCGGGCATCTAGATATGACGGTTCATACAAGAGAAAGCGGTGACGCTAAACAAGTAAATGAATATAATTAATTTCGGGCCGTATTAATTACAGTCAGAAGTGTGTTCGGTGTTTGTTGACTGTATTTAAATTAATTTCGGTTCGAAATTAAAGGTCTTTATTTTTGTTTAGTGGCGAAAATTGAGTTTGTGTGTTTCTGACAGTTTGAAAGGATGTCGTTGCTATTTTTTAGCACACAAGGGCCGTGACCTTTCTCTACCGGACGGCATATCCGGGGTTGTTTAAGAAAAAGGTGGGAGTGGTGTTTGGGCACACTGCGACACTATCAACCACTGTTTTGTCTCCCAGATTTTCTGACAGATCGATGTTACTATAGTGACCAAATTCATTCTCTCCGTGCTTCTGCTCCTTCCGACTTCCCTGTTTGGTAACCTACGTATGGCTTCTTCCACATCTTCTCTCAACACTGGAAGTGGTGAAGGTGTTCTCGTTAATGTTGAGCCTCCATCAATCAAACTGATGTCGGGCTGTATGGGATGGTTGTATAAGTCGCGACAGTATTGTGTCCATCTGTTCAGAACTGCGGTGTTTTCGGTTACAATTTTACACGAGCTATCCTCGATGACTGCGGATCTGCTCCGCCGTGACTACGTAAGCTTTTTCAATTTATCATATGCTTGTCTGCGTTCATTCCTTTCTCGATGTTTTCACACTGCTGGGTGATTCAACATTCGTTGGCTACCCTCATCTGCTTGCGTACTTGGTTGTTGGTTTCATAGTACTCGGCGGCATTTTTAAGATTGGGTTTTTTAGTCTTCTCTTGTCGCAGAGGTCAAGGATATCATGAGAAATCCATGGCTGATGTTGCTTCCCCTGAGAACCAAGTAACTCCTCTGTGGTTTCACGGACTGCCTCATTGAATCTATTGGTGAGATCGTTTATGTCTCTGTTTATGAGGTTAAGTGCTGCAAATCTGTCCCCGAGCTGTGTCTGAAAAATCTCATTCAGTTTTAAATCCTTTAGTTTTTCAAGGTCAAACTTAATACATGGATGTGCAGCTTAGATTTTCCTCTTCAGCTTCACTTTCATTATCAGCTGCATCAGGACGAGATCGCTGCTTATGTTCGCTCCAGGATAGGTTCTTGTCTTCGCTCTATTGATGCTTAACATGTGCCTTGAGGCCAAAATGAAATCATTTGGTTGCGTGTTTTCCCATTCAGCGTATACCATGTTTTTCTTCTTGACAGTTTGAGAAGGTAAAGATTGTTAGTGATGGTGAGCCTCTTGTTGATCGCAAACTCCAAAAAGCGAAGTCCCCTATCATTGGTGGTCCTAGTGCCGTACTGGCTAACTGTTCCAGCCCAGTACTCATAGGCATCAGGGCCAACTTTGGCATTGAAGTCCCCCTTGAACGATGAGGATTTCTTTATTCGGAACCTTCCTGATGGTATTTCCTAGTTCCTCATAGAACTCTTCCACTTCTTGGTCTTTGTGGTCGGTGGTTGGTGCATACACCTGAACGATGGCGATGTTCATTGGTTTGGCTGACACGCGGATGGTAATGATCCGGCTGGATACTGGTGTGCATTTCAGGATGTAGCCAATGACTTCTTTACGTACAATGAAGGCTACTCAAGTCGCGACTGATGTCCGCTGTACCACATCTTGCGTCCGTCCTCAGTAACTTTCTCTCCGAAACTAGCCCATCTCACCTCTGCTAATCCTATCACATCCCACTAGTAACGCTTCAGTTCGTATTCAATTCGAACACTTTACAGCAGGAATAGTGTGCGGACATTCCATGTACCAATGGTACTTTCTCAGATGGCAGGTTGTAGGTGTTTCTCGCTCCAGTAGCTGACTTATCGCCTCCACCCTGGTGCTTATTAGTGGAGAGCGCGGTCGTTATTGACCCGGGCCTCGACCGATCCGGTATAGTGCCAGCTGTGATTGTGTCTCTCTTGTCTTTTCTGTGGGTTTAGGGTATTCCTTGGTGGCACCAATTCCTGCTCCAAGTCTCACACATCAGCTCCTCACAACGTTTCGCCCTCCAGCAGAAGTAGTTACCGGAGTGTAAGTGGGTTAAGGACCCATACTCAGAAGTGAGAGTGAAGCGTCGGGTGAGGACCAATGCTCCTGTATATCCCGTGGGATGCTGCTGCCGGATTTACACTGTACCATCACACCCCATTACAATGTACGTAAACTTAAAACAATTTTAAACATACTTGTCTGAAACAAACACACAATTGGACCAAATTTCCCTATCAGCTCACTCTCTTCAATCATAATTCTACAAGGCAGTACCTACTTCCATGAATGACAATCGCACGACAACTCTTTCCATTCAACAACAAGCACTCTCGCTGTGTTGACCTATCTACCCCTTAACGGCTCAACAAAATTTGACAACACTGATGATTTCGTTGACACATTACACTCTCTATCAAGAATTTTTATTTCTTCGCCTATTACAGTAAATCTCACTTATGAACATTTTTTTCTACCTTGCTTAATTTGATTAAGCACTCAAACGAACATTTTGAGCAAATTTCTACATATAACAGTGATTACCGAAACATGGACAGCCCAAATACATTCGGCAAATTCTTGCGAAACAGTATATACGAGAATAAAATTTAAATGTAAATTTGGAATGTATCTTCTCATGGCCATATGGCTGCTAAGTTCATTTGGCAGAGCAGTCAAGCAGAGTACTATCCTTACTTGGAGCACCACTGCTATGGCCTTGTCCCAAGCTATGTTAAGCAAAATCAATTTTAAAAAATGCTATGATTATTAAGCATATTTAACAAACCAGTTCGCTCATGTAGTAATTTCGATTCCTACTTGTTGTTTAAATCCATATGGGAATGACTACAAAACATTTTCCCCTCACCATTTTATAGGTAGAAGCATACAAATGCATGCTGGGATTTTTTTCCTAGCCAATAAAATATGCTAGTTCTCGGTTTCATCTAACATAGTCGCAGTCTGTACTGTCTTGAAGTCAGAACGCTACGTTCGCTTGTCCAATCTTGCTTTCGTGTGTCAAACCCAATTTTTTGTGAACTTTTTCCAGAATGTTCCTCAAACTAATCTTTGGCAACTTAGTTCCGATGACACATTGCACTATTCTGCGGGAATAACCTATTCTGTTTGGGTCATAGAGGCCATGAATAGGTGCAAATGGTCATGAAACAGTACAAGGTAATGTCACCGGCCAATGACGTGTTTAGACTGAGCAGCGTAAACATCTCACACACCCTTATGAAACTACCACCACCTGCAGAGGGATTTCTTGACAACTAAGAACCCTGCGACGCCACCTTTCTCATTGCACTAAGAGAGGTGGGTCAGTCTAATACCGACGTCAACGTGACGTGACATTTGTCCTTGTCCTATATGCATATCCTTGTGCATGGGCTCCCCACGTTAAAAAATATCTTGGGTCACATCCTCCCTTAGTGGGGAGGCCAGGTAAATACCTTATTGACAAATAATGGCTTCATGGGGTTTGCATCCACACCCGAACATTAGCATCAACTCGAAACATCTAGAACCGTGATACATTAAACCAAGTCACATGTTGCCAGTCCCTCCCCACAGAAGACAATTAGTGATATCCCGAACCCAGGAAAGACGCCGTGTCTCGTGTTGAGGTGTTAACATAGGCATTGTAGTTGGTTTTCCCTCATATATCATGGAAGCTAAAGAACGCTAAACTGGCCTGTTGGATTTACGTCTAGTACCCGCCTTCCCACGAACAGTCTAGCCGGTATTCATACTGACCAAATGTTAAGGTAAAACTAATACAGTTCTGAGAATTATCATACCTTAAAAAGATTTGGTGTTGCCACCTACAATTACCTTTACATATTACTATCCCATGACTTTTGGCACGTCACTGTAAATATTAAAATTAAACAGGCGTATGGAATCACTTGTCCTAACCACGGTAATCCAAATAAGTGAGAGTCCGTTATTGTATAGAAAGAGTTGTCGTGTGATTGTCGTTCATGGAAAACCCGCAGAAGTAGGTACTGCCTTGTAGAATTATAGTTGAAGAAAGTAAGTTGATATTGTATTATGTAGGGAAACTTCGTCCAATTGTGAGTTTGCTTCAGACAAGCATGTTCGAAATTTTCAATATGGATATCGTTGGTTAACATTTGGATTGAAAGAATTTAAATGGACAAAAAGAGCATGAGTGCGGTTTCGTGCGTTTGATTCAGTTGTAATCTATAGAAATTGAATGTAGTTCGTATTTTCTAAATTTATATTTAGTAATTAATACCAGTTGAAAATAAAAATGCAAGAAGTTCAAAGTCAATCCTCATTTAAGAAAAAAATCAAACTTTCTAGTTAAACGTAGAGCGACAAACGTTGAAGACAAAAATTATATTTTTTACAGTAAAGTTCACATTGTAAAAGGCCTGGGGGCCACTCGAGGTAGAGGGTTACATTAAGAGGCAGTTTATGTGGATAGGAGAGGATGATAATGGTTAACCCTAGACTTGAACAGGTTAAGATTGTAGTGATCTAGGAAACATCTTCTTAGGAATCGGTTCCACAGAGCAGTGGTTCGCGGGAAGAAGCTGTTCGCATAGAACTTACTTCTCATCAATTGAATATGGAGGGAATGAAGGTGGCTTGTTAGAATGTGAATGGGATGGCATGTCCTAGCCGCGAAGGTTAGACATAGCGAAACCAAGGGATGCAGTTCGTCCGAGCACTTTCTATGGAAGTAGCAATAGAGCTGTAAGAGGATCGCTACATTCCGCCTGTGAGAGAGAAATTAAAAATAATTTGTCACCCAAAAGGACTCTGAGATTCTTTGGACTCTATCTGGACTGGAAAGTGAGAACTGAGCAGCTCCCGCCCAAATATTACAGCAGTACACTCCATTTTAGGCCTGATCTGGCTCTTGTCAAGGTAGAGGATGGCATGTGGAGTCAGGTACATACTGGAGCGGTGCTGGGAACCGATCATTTTTCTTGCATCTTTTGCGATGGGTTGTATGTACGGGTACCACGAGGTCAGGTGTGAGTTCCAGGCCTAGTGCTCTCTCAAAGCATGGAGCCTCCCCGAGAGGACATTCATTCATCGTAACTGGTGATAGTTCTGGGTCCGGTCAGCAATGATGGAATATAACTAGTTTGGTTATCGAAGCATTGAATGTAACCAGCCAGTTTTTCCCCGATTGAGGAGTAGATATAACCAGAGATCTGCTGAAACAGATAGATAGATAGATAGATAGATAGATAGATAGATAGATAGATAGATTTTTTTTGTTCAGTGTTAAAGCGGGGACATTGCCAGTTAATGTGTAAAGGTGAGAAAGTATGTAATTGGCGGTAAATTTGGATAAATAAGCCTTAATTGTCAGTGATTATATTACAAGAATTATACACCTGTTTGATAAACAATTTAAAATATCACAGGTTTCTAATTACACTGTGAATCCTAAAAGATGAATTTCCTTATCATTTTGTTTCTATGGATATTAGCAGGATTCAGTATTGAATTTTACCAAGAAAGGCGAGAAATATTTTGATCCAATATGAATTTAAAATAAATTTAAAACAATTGGATGCAAGGTGGGAAATTGTATGCAGGAGTCAAAAAAGGCGAGAAAATGATTTAAAATATGATGTTTTGAAATCTTTACTTTAGTCAAGAAGAAATATAATGTATATTTCGTTTCCCGTTAATAGTTAATGTAACATTCAAAACCATCGTTTTCCTATTTTGATATTTATATGATATTCAGCAGTCAGCCAGTGTATAATTTAGTGTACATGTTTTGTAGTGTGTTTTATCAGTTTTGTAGTAATCCAAACATCGTCGGAGTTACCAATTTGTGGTGATAAGGCTTTCTGTGTGGCCACCGGCTAGTATTTGTGTATAGACGCTCCTTACGAATGTAGTAGGGGACAGAGTTGGAAATTGGTTACATGTAGTACAACTGCGAAGTAGCTCGGTACTTAGTGCTAAATGTAATATTAACAGATTAATAAGGTTCATGAGTTAGCGTAAGATTTATTAATTCAAGTTTTGGTTACGAAGTATAGAACCTGGTAGTTGCAATATTGTATGCATAATGAAATCTCTAGCCGCCATCTTATTGTCTGGGAGCAACTCTGGGAGACGTCTACCTGTTTTCGCTTCACTCGAGTCATTAATGTGTGTTTATTTAAAGATATGGAGTGGCTCAAGCGAAAGGGCCACTATACCTTCTCTAGGATATAGACAGTTGCAAAAAAGGGAAATTGTTGTTTATCGTTTGGCTACAGAAGAATAAACATGTTCTCTTCACTTTTGCAAACCAACACGAATTATTAAATACACAAAATAAAAAACCAAACAAATCAACAAATGTTTAGTTTTCCGCTACCACTTTTTTTATCAATGTCGATTTTTGTGCAAAAAGCGGATCACAGAGTTTCATACATATTTTCAGAAAACCTCAACTTCTGATTGGTCACTTAATATTAAAATCATGCTTTCAACTACGTCCGAATAACATCGACCTAGTTCTTGACCTGACTTAAAAATAAATGCTCTTTGGAGCCTGTCACGTGATTACATAAGATTTAAATAGAATGTACGAGTGAACCTCGCCAGTGAGAATTTCACGACGTTTGTATCATTACTACAGTGAAGTACAAGTTAGAATTTTAAATTCTTCAACATGAAATAACTTCACTGTAATTCAAGCTAAATAATTCAACTAATCCACTCACTCACCAACTTCTGGAACTTACTAAAAAGTAAAAACTGTTCTATCACACTATTGAATTTTACGAAATTTTTCAAACTTCATTACAAACATTACGGAACATTCATTCATTCAACCCTTCTGAAGCTAAAAGTTTACTCGACATATTCTCAGATTTATAATTCCTTCAACTCTCTAACAGTGAACATTTTGAGCGAGAAGTTCATTCAACTTTTAAGAGCTCAGAAAAAAAAATCCATTATTAAGACGTTTGTTTTAGTTAAAGGGAAGTAACTCATATTAACTATTCATGTGTATCATTTGACGTAAAATATAAATATTGCCCTTGTTTTAAAAAGTTATTTTTTGTGTACTTTCTATTGTTTTTCGTTTACTTACACATTCATAAAGTAGAAAATGTAGGGGTTGATTTAGGCTGTAAATACCGCTAAATTAATGGTGACCACGAATACGAATGTGTGTGGCAAAGTATTGAGCGATATCTAATAAGAGAACATTGACAACTCTAACGTTTGTACCGACGCTTAAAAATTTGAATCACCACTTATTGTTAAACCCAATTTAACTGGTATTCTAACTCCACGTCGAGGAGATATTTAACATTATGGCTGAGCAGACTGATGCACACACAGAGGTTGCAATAACAGTGAATTTGCCAGCTTACAACAGTGTCAATGTACTAGATTGGTTCGCACAGTTAAGTGCTATATTCAACGCCAAGAGGATAACTTCACAAACTTCCCGAAATGCCTACGTTGTAGAGAAGCTACCAGCGGGGGTAGCGATTGAGGTTTCGGATCTCCTGGATGAGATGCTATAAACCTTATGATACCCTAAAAGAAGCTATTTTCCATAGAACCGGTCAATCTGAGGAACAAAAGCTGCGTGATCTGTTTAATAACTTAATCCTGGGACAAAGCAAACCGTCACAATTGCTGCGTAAAATGCGAGTACTATTAGGAAGCATCACAATATCTGACACAGTGTTAAGACAGCTTTGGTTTGACAAGCTTCACGCGGTGAACATCATCCAAATTTTAGCTTCCCTCCCAAACGAAATTGAAATATAAAAACTAGCTGATAAAATAGCTGATAACCAGCCAGCTAGTCCTGTGTATGCTGCGACCCAGAGACAGTAGCATCGGTGGTTGACGCAGACGACATGTGTAAACTTAGTGACAGATTAGCACAACTTACCATTCAGATGCAAGATATTCAGGGGCCTATGCGACAACAGAAATGCAACTTCACTGATCGAACTCCTCCTGAATCACGACGACGTAGACACAGATCGTTGTCACGAAATATGGAAAAATATCAGGACAACGTATAATAGTATCATGCTAAGTTTGGCCACTTAAATGCCGTAAACCTTGCAGGTTTTAGCGAATTTCTTTGGCAATAGACCGACACGGCAAGCGCGAAACGACGTTCCCGGAAGCAGGTGAAGACGGCGTTCGCTACCGGGGAAAAAATATTAACCGTCTCTTTTATGTTAAAGACGCCAATTCTGATTACCTATTCTTAGTTGACTCGGGCGCACAAGTTAGTGTGATCCCGCCTACAGCAAACATGGCGACCAAAGCTACATCATACAACCTCCAAGCTGCTAACGGTTCTCGAATAAAAACCTATGGTGAAAAATCACTAACGTTAAACCTAGGGTTACGTAGATTATTCACATGGGTATTTACAATCGCGCAAGTCACCAATTCTAGGAGCTGATTTCTTTTAGGAGCTCATTTTAAACTCAAAGTGAACATGTCTTCCCGATCCTTAGAAGATAAAAATACTTATATTGCAATTAAGGGAATTACATCGAGATTGACAACGGAAGGTATCAGTACATCCCTACCTACTGCTAACAGTATTCAACGCCTGTTACGAAAATATCCGGAAATTCTGATACCGTTCAACTATATGGAACCAATCTTACACAATGCGGAACACAGGATACAGACGACTGGTCCTCCCGTGCATTCACCTCCGCGGCATTTACATCCGGATAAATATAAAATTGCTAAGACTGAGTTTCAACATATGTTGGACTTAGGGATAATCAGTCCATCATCCAGCCCATAAGCTTCTCCTTTGCATATGGTTCCGAAATCGGAAGCTGGAGCTTGGAGACCATGAGGTGATTTTCGGCAACTTAACGCTCAGACAGTCCTGGACAAATACCCAATCCTGCATCTACGAGACTTTGCAATAACCTTACAAGGACCGTCAATTTTTACAAAGTTGGACTTGAGAAAGGCTTTTTGCCAAATTCCTGTGGCAAAAGACGACATCCACGAGACAGCTACACCGTTTGGTTTATTCGAGTTTACTAGAATGCCTTTCGATCTAAGAAATACAGCGCAGCCCTTCCAACGACTTACAGACGAAGTACTGCGTGGCTTGCATTTCACATTCGCCTATATTGACGATATTCTGATTGCGAGTAGGAACATGGAAGAACACTGATAACGTGGAACAGGTTTTTCAGCGATTGAAACACTTCGGACTTAAAATTAATCCTACTAAATGTGAATTTGCTGTACCGAAGCTGATCTTTCTTGGTCATGAGATAGATGGAAAGGGGATTACACCCGTCTCTCATAAGGTCGAAGCCATTCAAAACTTCCCACAACCAACTACACTTCGACAGCTACGTAGATTCCTTGATTTAGAAAACTATTACAGACGATTCATACCTCATTAATTGCAAATGCTGATTCCGTTGACAAACTTGTTAGAAAATCAAAGAAAGAAGAGAAGCAAGATTATTCTAACTGACGATGCATTGTCAGCATTTAATAATGCTGTAGCGTACGTACCAAATATAGCGTCGGGTCGATTCACTAAATGTAGCAGGAACACCAAAATATATAGGTACTACTACTATTTATATTAATGATTCTTCAGCGTACAGGATTCAAGAAATAATAGCAACAACTCCAATTTGTTAACTAGCAAATATATATATTGAATAAAATACAACAACAAGTATGAAATAAAATCGTATTCACAATGTAGATTAAAGAGAAGGAAGTTGTTTCCCTTTGACTGTAGATTGATTGTAATCAACCGTTTGAAGAAAGTTCTCTTGTAAGATAAATGTTCCGAAATAATTGTTAGAGCAAAGTTTGCATGTAAAGAATGAATAACACGAAGAATACAATTGCTTGAAATGTGTTGTAAATAAATTAGTTTGAATCAACAAAGTTCTGGTTGATTGTGCTTGGCGTAAATTACAGAGAGAAAATGTAAGTTTGTAATTACGAAATTCTGTGTCTGTGTGTGCGTTAGAGTGTGATGAGCAAGATCGTGGATTTGTGTTGACGGCTGGGATCTTACTGGATCTTACTAGCGACTTGCGAAAAGTCTCCCGATTTAAGGAAAAGAGGTAGGCTCCCACAGAACCGCAGGAAAACTTGATCTTACATTAAAAATATGTGATTGGTTAAAAATTAACCAATCACTACACACGTACTAAACAGAATAGGTAAGTATGCTCAGAACCAAAAGATTCAAAGGAAGGACTGCGATGGCTAAATTGTCCTATACAAAGGTAGTAGTAATTTATTAGCCAATCGCAGGCGAATAAAATGACTTGGAGTATATGTGGGTGGGAAAAACATAGCGACCGCTATAATGCCAAGGAAGCCCTGGCTAATTACACCAAACTATCTTACGTTTCGGATAGTGAAGAAGCGACACTTACTCTTACTACAGACGCATCTGCTGATACTGTAGGAGCCGTACTACACCAGGAGAGTGATAATGTGAAGAAACCACTTTCATTCTTTTCTGTGAAACTGAATTCAGCACAACGCAAATTTAGTACTTTCTCACGTGAACTTCTTGCTATATATCTGTTCGTCATTTCCGACATCTGTTAGAGGGCAGGAATTTTATAATTTTCACTGACCACAAACCTTTAGTGTATGCCTTGCACTCTAAAACTGATAAGTATAACCCTCATGACATAAGACAGTTGGACTACATCGCACAGTTTACGTCCGACATTCGTCACATTAATGGGAACGACAACATTTGGTTCTTGGTGATTCCTTATTTTCGAAAACATTAACCATTTAACTATGGAAGTTTTGGTGAACCATCATCCAGTTCCTCTAGCCTTTAATTAGTGAGATGCGGTTGTAATGTTCATCGTTATGTCATGCAATTAACCAATCGTTTTGCTTAACTCTTCTCTTCATTTTCTCTTTTTCTTACTTTAGATTTTAGCAGCAACTGGCACCCAGGGCCGGTCCATACTACCCACGAACCGAGTCTGATTGGTGATCCCGGATGGTACTTTGTGACCTTCGATATCTTATCAATATTTGCTTTATTCTACCTACATTTATATACGTTACAAATTAAAGTAAGCACAACTGACTATTAGTATTAAAGGATGAAAAATTTTCAGAGATTCTAATGTCATTCTGCAGTCTTTTCTTTTGTCGTCCAAATCCATGAATTTGTTTTGCTCTTGCTAAGTCTCGAAAAACATTGTGAAATTCATTACTTTTTATCCATAATGTTGATAATATAATTGGCAAGCAATTTTATACTGGTGAGAACTTCAACACTGGTCACAATGAAATAAAACGAAACCTTTCATATGACTTCAGACACTATTCTGATTAATCAAATGTTTCTCCTCATTTTATATAAAAAATAATTACTTGTGGGCTCGCTACTTTCTTTCCTTCTTCTTCTCAGCTCACCATTTAATTTCTGTGAAGGCATGGTTTTCATTGCCCCACAAGGAATTTCACATAGGCTCATAAATTCATTTCCTTCTTCTCGGCACACCAGTTAATTTCTATGAAAGGCAAAAATCTCACAGACTATAGAATTTCTTTCCTTCTTCCACAGACTTCCGAATTTGAAAGGAGCGGTGAAGGGAATTATTATTATTTCGCACTCACTGCAAGTTTCTTTCGAAACTTAGCATGAGCAAAACAAAAAAGAGCCCAGAATGACGTCAAAATCCACGGAAGTTTTTCATTCTTTAATAGTCAGTTGTACTTAGTTTAATTTGCAATGTATATAAATGTAGGTAGAAAAAAATCAATGTTGATAAGATGGTGCTGGTCACAAAGCACAGCCCGGCGTCCCCAAAGCAGGCTTTCCTCTGCCAGTCGAAGGTTCAGGGTAGTATGTGCTGGCTCTGAGTGCAACCACCTAGTTTTTGAAGAAAAAAACTATTAAAAAAAATGTGCCCTATACTCCAGTATATCCAATAATATACATTTTAGTATATATAAAAAAAAATGCATTCATGTGTTCTGTTTTTTTTTTTAATGTTTTTTTTTTTAGTAGAAATTGTATTCATCGTTGTAAGAATGAAACTATGGCAGCTTTCCTTTACTGCTGCTGCAGGCAAACTAAAACAATGAATCCGTGAGACCATGACACATGTCTTGGTGATAAGACGTTGTCTGCCTGCCCACCTGTCGTTGTTATGGAAACAGAATACATACTAAATTTCAAATTTAAAAAGAAATTTGTAGAAATATATATATATATATATATATATATATATATATATATATATATATATATATATAGAGAGAGAGAGAGAGAGAGAGAGATAGATAGAAAAAGCTGCAAATTAAAAAATAATAATGTTCTTTTTATGAAAGTATTTATTTATTTGTATATATATTTGATATTTCAGATTGGCCTCAATCTTTCTTCAGAAATAACTGTTTGTTTACAAGTAGCGTCCGTCGCGAGATGCGGACGTCAGGTGATATATATATATATATATATATATATATATATATATATATATATATATATATATATAGATTGCAATTAATAAGCTGTGTTGACTGGAAAACCGTGTTAATTTAAGTGTGGGGACACTGTTTATTTGAATGAATATGAATGGACGTTTTATGTTGTTTTTTTTTAATGACATACCTGTGACATCAAGGATCATGACAATTTGAATTAACGATAAAATAAACGAACAAAAACAAATCAAATCAGACAAATACTGCAGTTCAGCAAAACAAAGATGAACACAGAACACATTAAAAATTGTTTGATGGATAAGGTTTTGTGACATTTGCTTCTGGAAGATAAACTTAAAACAATGCTCAGCTAACTTGAAAAAAAAGTCAAGTGAGGTGACATGTAATTAATACTGAAAACTATACAAACGAATTAATACATTAAATGTGGTATAATTATCTCAG